GTTCAATGACTCGTCCTGGAGTTTCTCCTAAGAGACGCGGAAACGCTATGGAAACGCCTCCGACCGTCGGTGGAAATTACCCAAGGGAATCGAAAGGCGCCCGGTCATCGCGTCGCCGTGGCGGGTCCGAGTGGGAGGGAGAGGCGGCCGATCCAAAAGGAAGAAACAAAAAGGATAAACCGTGACTTTTCGTCGGGGCCCTCTCCGACCTCTTTTTTGCCCCCCTTCGCGATCGGGCCCCGAAAATTATTCCACGAGCCGCACGCGCGGGGGCTCCTTTTTGTTTCGTAAAAGGAGTCGGGCGTGAATTTCAATGGGCCCGGGCTCGTACATTCGTGGCGGCCTTGGGCTCGACCGCGCGTGTCCCACTCACCCTCGGAATTGGCACGAGAGCTAACGAATAATATTCTTCAATAAGTTCGACTAGGAAGTGAAATCGAATTTCGGGTGTCGGTCTCCGGGATTTCCACGGGGGAGGTCCTAAGTGCAGGGTGGTGAGGAATCATTGATCGTTTATTTGGACAAGACGGGCGCGAGACGGACTCGTCCTTCGTGTCAGAATTCTAGGATGAGTCAGTCGGGAGGTGACTCCTCGACGGAACGGTCGGAGCCGTCTCTTTCGTCCTGGGCCGTGGACCAAAAATGACGTAAGGGGTCCTAATATATTCCCTGCTCGATTCGGGAAGCTGGGGAAAGCTCCCGTTCCTCCTGGTTACGCGCCCACGAGCCGACTGGACTTCACGAATCATCGATTTGAAAAATATTTTTTCTTTAATATATTTAATACGAATTTCCTGTCGTATATTTTTGAGAGGTATCCTCCAAGTGTTCTTAAGTTTACGGTGTGTATCGCTTATATTTTAATTGCCTCGTGTTCGAGTCGGTTAATTTTTTTATTTTCCTTTTCCTTCGCGCTCGGAGTCCCTCGATACAATTTTTTTCATTCATTCGAGAGGATCATCGAGAGGGCGACTCGCGGCTATCGGATGCTCGGAGCCGAGGCTAATTGTCGTTAAGTTTACGAGCCCCGTCGGGAATAAACACCACGGGTCAAAATAGCCCAGTTTTGACGTCAGAGGTGCACCCGAAAGCATGTCTAACTAGCACATGCCGCTGGATTTTAATGCCCCACCGAGTGAGATCATCGGCAGCGGTAAATCGGCCTCCGATTTGTCAATAATCGGACTGCCACGGGCCCTGCCAAAAGTCAAGAGCCAAAAGCTTCGCTCCGCTTTTCCTGGAAAATGTCCAAATTAGAGCTTATACGTGGAGAGGCGTCATTTCGAGCCCGGTGACGGGGTTACTCTCGATTGGAAGTCATTTTCTTTTTTTCTCTCCAGTCCGACCCTGGTCACGGTCTAGGGGAAAGTGTCACCTGGAACGAAATTTATATTCCCACGTCCGCGACGGGAAATATTTGGAATTTTTAGAAATATTAGGAACGAGCGAGTAAAATCGCTTGGAATCGGTGCGAAAATATTGCCGAGAAATACTCTCGTCCCGGGACAGGCGAGTACGGGGGAAAAAGTTGAACGCGATTTCGAGAAAGGGAGCGAAAAGGGGGGAACAAAGTAGAGAGAGCCATTGTCGACCGCCGTTCCGCGGCGTTTCGACCGCAGTCGTCGACTTATCGCGAGGGCAACTCGTGATACCGCCTTCGAGTACGTCGACTCCGCGGTCAGATTTTTAAACAACCTCTGTAGACATTCCTTTTTCCACTGAATGCTTCTCGGAATGCCTCGTGGAAAATTTCGTACCGTGACTTCGCGCTACGGTCGACGTATCGACCGTATCTCGTTCGAAGCTTGAAAATAAATATTCAACGACGACACCTGCCAATAAATAGGAATTAGCCCGCGAAAATGGACGCTAACGAGCCCGGGTTCGGTAAAAATAAATTCCGAATTTAATACGGCCTTGCCTCTTTGCCTTTGCATTTCTGTTTACAAGAAGAAGAAGCGGCCAACCGGTCATTTAAAATTCCGAAAAAGTCATCCTCGTTCTCCCCGGCATTCCAAGGCTTCGCGTTCGGCCCGTGGTGCCACTTATCGGAGGACTTTGAAAACACCGGAAAGGAGACGAGAACGCAATCGAGCCCAAGAGGGAGACCTGAGAAAAACGGGTTTCGATCACCGTAGGACTTTCGAGGAACCGGCCCCGGCGAGGGAAAAGCGAATCGATTCGTCGAAAGGGACGCCATCTCTTTCCTTCGCTTCGCGGAGCCGGGAAGGATCCGTGCCCCCCCGATTATTTCTTTTGCCCCCTTAGTTTTCGTCCAGATAAGCCGTCACTTTGGATACGCGTTCGAGGCCGGACACCATTCGAATCGGTGAAAAATGCAGAGATTCGGCCCGGGAGAAACTCGTTTCGCGTCTCCCTCCGCGCGGGGTTCTCGGGGCCCTGGGGCCCCGGGGCCCCGGCGAGACCGGCCCGGCCCTGGCCCCGTAGCATGGCGTCCACCAACATACGCGTAACCCCTCTCGTCGCGTATTCGCGCATACTATTTATGCGAACTGCGTGCACGATACGGATATAGAGTTAGGTTCGGCCCGGCGGCCGGCAGAGTTCGTTCCTCGCAGCACCGGCGCGCATCGCACGGAATAACCGCGGGCGTCTACGTCGGGAAAAGACGTCGGACGCCGATCGGGCGCAACACCTCGAACCGCGAAAGATCGACGGAGGTTCCGTGCCTCCATTGGAGAAGAAAGTCTTCGTTGGCGTGATTTCCTCTCGCGTCCCCGAGGTGCGGAGGTATTCTCGCGAGCGCAGCGCCGCGCCGTAAGTCTCGTCATTTCTTCTTTTTTTTTTCCCCGCAAATATTATCGACCCGACGACCGGCTCCGTATACCGTTCTTCTACGAGCGTGTCATCTTTTCCGAGGATATTGAAATTTCCTTTTGGACGTTGACCTACCCGCGACAACCGTCCTCGAAACGCTCGATTTTCCGCCGAAAATCCAACAGGGTATACTTAGGCCCCGCGACTATTTCCGAATTTCCGTAACGATCGCTCCATGCGTTTTTTTTTTTTTCACTTTTCGGAAATGCCGGTGCGCCTTTGGACGAAGGGCGACATGTCGTCCGGCCCTTATCAAGCGATATCGTTTCTTTTTCTCTGCCGAGCCTTTTGCGTGATCTCGTCCCCGTCTCGAATTCCTTCCGCGAGTTTCGGATTTCGCTAGAAAAATGAAAGAAAACTCGGGGATTTACTTCTCGTCCTCGGCGATGCGTCAGCGACCGGAGTCGTTGTTGCAAAATACCGCACTCCCCGATGCGCTTCCGCTGCCGCAATTGCCCCGGAATGTCGTTCGTCCCTTCGACGCGAAAGAGTCGAGGCGGTCTCGACGTTACGTCTCCGGGTGAAATCTTCCACCGTTCCCCTCTCGCCTCTTCCCGGTGCATCGCCGTTGCATGTGATTCATCCGACGAGAACTCGTAATCTCTTTCGATCGTTTCCCCCCGACCGGTTATTTACCGGACTTACGAGCCGAGGTGACGAGAAATGTCCAGGGATCGATCCGTGATCCGACGAAATCCTTCGCTACGTCCCGCGTTAAAAAATTGCCAAACTTTTATCTTGCAAAAGGATAGAGTCTTCGCTTTAACTACCGGCCAGAGAATTTAACGAAAGGAAGAATTAATTTCCCGGGCAAGAAGGAGGACGAAGGATCGGACACCTTAAGTAACGACGATAAATATGAGATATGTCATTTTTAATGATTATTTAAAAATCCGGGCTGGAACTCAATAAGTGAATTCTCTTGCCGACTCGCAAACTTTTCCGGAGTTTGGCCGCACGCGGAAAGAGTGCCCAGCGAAAATTACTCCTGCCGAGCTCGTAATTGCCATAGGTGCGGTTATGCTCAATTATAACGGTAGAGCCGGAGCTTTTATACGCCCCCTTTTTTCCTTCGCTTCCCTTTTACGAGAGACTCGTAAGCGAATTCAAGGTCGCCCCGAGACCCAAGGATCCTCGTGGAGATACGTTTTCAGGACTGCGAGAGGAGATCCTGAATTTCCCCCTAGCGCGGCAGAATATAGAACATCCGCGTATCGTGACATCGTCGCGGCGCCTTATCATTTCTCGCTATCCCGCTCGATTGATCGCGGAACGGAGTATCTGAAAATTTTCCCCTTACACAAAAATTCGTTCCATTTTTCTTCATTTCTCTCCCCGATTTATATAGACTCGTGTACAACTACTTTGGAGGTCCGCGATGGGAATTTTCGTGGAGACATATTTTTATCCCGTAAAGCGCGGAAAATTGCAAAACATGGTTTGGATGCTGGTTTACTCCATTACGTGTCACGCTATTGGAAGTGGCTTTTTTTATTTTTTAATTTTTTTAATTTTTTAATCAACCTTCTCATCGTTCGTATTTCTTTTCCTTCCGAATATTCCCGAGAGTACGAACGGTTTCCGACGAACGTCGTCCTTCGAGAAAAATCTCGAGCGTATTATCCAGGTTTCGTTTCAGCGGAGGGGGGCCCGGTGGTTCTTCGGCGTATATTGTTCGAAAAGTCCGAGCACAAGGACGAAGGATCGCGGACCAAGGCCGCCCTCGCTATCATAAATCCCCGAGGTGATTTCCTCCCCGTCGATCGACTGGGACGAGTCCTCTTATCACTTCGCCGTATAATATCTTATCGGGAACGAGATCCTTGAATGGGAACACCTTTTAACGGTCCCTCGACGGCGTGCCGAGGATACTCTTGACAATAAATTCAACCGCCGCTCCGACGTCCATAAAAGAGACCGATCGATGCCGACATTCCTTTTTTCTGTGTTTTTCTTTTTTGACCACGCAGCAAAAATAAACGACGCGTGGGAGCGATATTTTAGTACCGAACTCACCGAAGCTCTCTCGCCGGCCTTTCCAAAATAAGAAAATAATGGAGTCGCGAGGAGCTGCTTCTTCTTATTCGGCATATCTTCTGCATATTTGTGCCATCTTGGTACGGCTCGACGTATCTAAGAGAATATGATTTTGGACATTGTAGTGTCAGAGAATCGACGGTGAACGGTTCGATCCCGAACGACTGCAAGGTCTGCTGCAAGGACTCGAAGGAGGAACGGAAGGACCTCGAGGGGACGTCCCTGCTGTGCGCGCTGAAACCGCGCAAGCGCAAGGAACGTCGGGAATCCTGCTGCCAGGAGCGGAAGCTCATCAGGTGCGTTTCCGTTATTAATTCCTCGACCGATTTCCGCCTTCCGGAAGTTGGACCGAAATGGACTCGACCTGGGAAGCTGGAATCGCGTTGCCAATGCAGTACGAGCGGAAAGACTCGCGGATTGACCTTGAAATTTCAATTTTTCTTTTTTTACATTTTCGCGTCAACTTTTCGCTCGCTTCCACGTGTATCGCAGAGAAGAAGTGCCGGTAAAAATGAGGAAGTGATTTGTACGAGAATTTTTTTTTTATTTTCAGAAGCAACAGCGAGGAACGCATTTTGGATAGTGCCGATAACACCGCGGAATCCATTCGCAGAGTTAGCAGCCACGAGGACTTCAACAGTTCGAAACATTTGCAAATTTTACCACAAATCGGCCAAGAGATGGGTCACGGAGTGGTACGTCGCTAGTTGACCTCGTCGACTCTTTTGTTTTAAATTTCTACCAATCGTGACCATTTTTGCAGAGATGCGGAGGTTTGCCTCTCCACGAAAGAACGAACGTCTCGCCGGTTTTCGCCAAGCCGTCGCCCGTTCCGTCGCCCTGCGAGGCGGTTCTTGCAGCAGAAAGATTCGAATGCGACGCCGAATTCCTGAGACGCAGCGAGCGCTTCAGCAGAAGCATCACTCCCAGGGGAAGACGCCAAGCAAGGCGCCGAAAGGTTCACCAAGGCCCGGACGTGGACCGAAGTTCAAGCAAAGTACGGTTCGATTTCGTAGGACGTTTCAGGGATCGACTTCCGGGGGACCGAACGTTCACTTTTTCACCGATAACGTTTCAGGAGAACCAAGAGGCCCCCGAGAACATCTACGCTCTCTCGCCGAGTCGAAACAGCCACAATGGACCTTCCAGGCAGAGCTTTTTAGAGATGCTGAGCAGTGGACCGAGCAGGTCCCCATCGCCAGCTCGACCTCCGACTTTCGACCCCGAAGACACCAATAATCCTAGCTTGACCAACTGGGGTTTCCAGCATCGAGAGGGAGACGTAAGTGGTTTCTTATAACGGCCTTTTCCACATTTGGATACCACTCGAAAAGCTCGTTCCTTACCTGTGAATGCATTTTAACGTCCGATTTTATTCAGGACGAGGAAACGAACGACAGAGTGGAAGCCATGTTGTCCCCGAGAAATTCTCTGCTGATGCCCCGAAGGTTCTACTCGGAGAACGACCCACCGAGTGTTCCTGGTCCGGCCGAGCACGGGCTGAAGACCCTGACGAAGCACATAAACGGACTGAAGAAAAAGATCAAGAAATACGAGGACGAGTTCGAGGAGAACTTCGGCTACCGACCCAGCCACTCCGACAAGATGAGCAACCGGGACATCAAGAGGCTCTGCTCGGAATTAAACAAGCTGAGGAAGGAGCACAAGATGCTGAAAGAGGACCCTATCGGGGCACTTCTGGCGAACGCTAACAACAGGCTCAACGATGCCGACCCTCCCACGAACAACAACAACAGCCCGGAGAAGTCCAGGGCTACCTCCATGGAAGAGATGGTTAATGACGTCGAGCGCAAACTCAACGAGAAGCGAATCAAGTGCAACCGACCCGACAACATGGAAGAGTTGACGTACGAACAGCTGATGGACGAGAAAACGGCAGTCCAAAAGGCTTTGCTCCACATCGAGGGAGCTTTCGGAAGACCGGTGTCCAAAGAGGACAGAACCGTCGTGAGGCCGCTTTACGACAGATACAGAACCCTGAAGAGGCTGCTCATCAGAGCGGGGGTGGTAGGTGACCCAACTGGTTGCACTTTTTAAGAACATTCTTCTAACGTATCCGCTCATTTTCTTGCATACGGAAATTGAAGGAACCATTTCGGAGGATAAATCAACTCGTTTAGTAAGGATAAATCGATCCGCGCGCATTCCTTAATCGGTAAAATTTCTTGAAATCTCAGGCTAAGAACAAGGACAGTATTTCCGAGTTGGCAACCATTTTGGAGCACGAAGCCATGGACTTCACCTCGTCTACGATACCCGCGAATACGACGGACGGGGAGAGACGCGCCAGTGAGCCAGACATGTCGCATCGTGGCATCCTTGACTGCATCGATTCGACGGATCAGCTGCCAACTGACAGTGACAGTCAGCACAGCAGCAGCGAAGGCAGCCGCTGTATGGGGGAAAGTTTGCACGCCCTTCCTCAGTGAGTACCTCCCTTCTTTCTCTCGTTCTTATGTCTCCCGCGATCAGAGTGAAGGACTGCGATCGAAAGTTTGTAACGACGAGTCCCCGTAGATTGGTCCAATCGATCGTTAGAACGAAACCGGGACCATTATTCCGCCCAAGCTCCAACTTGGAAGTTCGCTTGGTTGACGAAATCCGTTTGCTTTCAGGGACGAGTTATTGGCCCAGCAGAGAGTCACCCGGGAGGAGAAGAAGCGTCTTCGGAGAGCCCTCAAAGAATTGGAAGCTCAGTTCGAGGCTCGAGCGGGACGTCGCATGCAGCGGGAAGATCGGGGCCCTCAAGTGATGACAGTCTACGAATCTTACAAACAGACCAAGGCCAAACTAAGACTGATCGATGCCCTAATCGCCAAAAACGCCTGACGCAGTATCTAAGTGCCGAGGGCCGGTCGTCATCCGTTATTCGAGTCGCGAGTGAATGCCTAACTGCGGATGGAAATTCCCAAATGCGTTCTCGGCTGGGGGCGCATTTCTCGAATCACTTGTGCGGAAGGCCTGGTTCCTTCCGGAAGGTACCGCTGCAAGAAGAGAGTTTTGAAAAAATGGTCCGCAGAGGCTGGGATTCGCGGAGTATCCCGCGATGGGAAATCGATCTTAATTGCCGCTATCGTTGAAAGATACGCTGCGAGGTATCCAACGCGTTTTCCCTGTTTCATCCGTGTCACAGAGATTACGAGATCTACAGAAATCTTGATTCGAGGAACCTTCTTTCTACAACCCTTCGCGACGAAGAGAACTCCCGGATTCTGTTCGCAGTTCCAAAGGGTTTCTACGAGAACAACGACGAAAGCTTGGGGAAGGATTTAACGATACCGGAAGAGAAAAAATCGTGTCTGTGAATCGCATCGGCTTAAAGGAGGAGTTTTCGAGGTTCCGAAGTGAGAAGAAACGGCGCTTCGGGGTGAATCGACTTTGGATTGTTGACAAATTGGGGAGGGAGAAGAAGCCGTTCATATCGCTGATTCGGTGATCCACCAGGGTGTGTCTCACGGCCCGAATTTCTATTGAATTTTAATAATCGATTCCTAGGTGGTAATGTCCCCGTTAACTAAACGTTAAGTGTCGCCTGTCACTGCGCCATGTTGACAGCGGTTGCGAGCCTCCGCCGTTTTGGTCTCACGAGTAGTGACGTCATTTAGAGCAAAGAGCAGCGATGATAATCTAGCGCGATAGTTTCATACGTCGTTTAAGAACCGTTCAAGATGTAGAATCGCCACACCGTAGGGGAAGAAACTAGAGCATACGGTGGATCGATCGAAGATCTAAATCCACATTCTCAGCGATACGATGATCAGCAAAATATCACTTTTTGCGACCTCTCGAAGGCTGTATTTTCTGGGCATCGGTCGATTCGCTTATATTTTATCGGAAACCTTTCCCAAGTGAAATCAATTCGCGAATAACCGTAAGAAATTTGCGGGCAAAAGTGCAATATACATAAAATGACTTCTCACTTTTGTAAATGCCTTCGAATTTCTTGCCGTCTGAGGAAACGATTTACTGCCATCGCTGTAAATATGTTCCGACTTGGTTTCTAAGTGAACTTTATTGACTTTGTGAATTTTTTTTTTGCTGTAGATTTTTGTAAATTTTACTTCCACCCACTTGTACTCGGTTGGTTAAATTGATTTGAAAGCTCGTACATCCGCATATTAATTAAGCATAGAACATTTATAGAAATGCTTAGTAAAGGTTTCGATTGCGGTAAAAATAACGAGATGTCACCTATTGCACAACTGAATGAAATGTTTACTTAAGGTAATTCCTTTTTATTCAACAATTTCTCGAGAGCCACGCGATCGATGCCCTGATCGTATCCGCCAAAATATCTTGATCACCGGAAATACTTGTATAAAAGAATTTCGATCGCACCACTAGGCGCAAGCGTGACGTTTTTCACAATGAAAAAAAAAAAAAAGAAAGAAAGAAAATAAATAAAAATAATTAAGTACTCACTTATATACACGAAACCGAAAACCAAGGGTTATCAGAAGAATTTTAACGAATGTATTTCATCGTTTTGTACGTACTTTTGTCCCGACGCAGTGTCTCTTTTGTACGAGGATTTTTCGCAGCTTTTTTATACAAGGAACTTTGGTTTCTCGTTTCGTGTCCGCGCTTGCGCATCCTGGAGGCCTCGAAGAGTCTATTGTCATATTTATTTGTATTTAAGAATCGCTTCTATCTTAACCACTTTAACGAGAGATCTGTATAATTATATTGATAACGGAGTAAATGTTTTATTATATAGTGGAGAGAGACGAAAGATAGAGGTATAAGTTTCCTTTGGTTCCCGCCGAGATGAAACGCCGGTTAATGGTAATTTGTATAATAAAAGTGTACCTTGGAAGAGATATCACATGTTGTAATTGTATGAGAGTACTATAGTATGTTAACGATCTGACAACTCGTGAAAATAGGACACGAGAGAGACAGTGGAAACAAAGACTTGCTTTTAACGAGACGTTCTCATCTTAATTATTTTTCTCGAGGTAGATGTTCTTCAGCGTTCAAGAGTGTTATAAATAAAAGTAACGGTGCTTTGCTTTAAAACGTTAATGCTCTGGTTATCGTCCTCTAGTATACGTGCATAAGTGGATAATGGCCAAAATGTTAGTAACGAGATCTTCGGCTTCTCTATGCGCGAGTCGGCCCAAATAATGCCGATTATCTCCTTATGAATTTATACTTAGATTTAGTTCCTTCGTTTCGGGTCCTCGTTAATTTTCGCCGATATATAATTGAATCGCGGATGAATTGTCGATAGTTTGAAGTATTCCCAGTTTTCTGTCATCTACGTACGGTTTCTTCATTTGGACGAACAGGCTGCTTCGCATCGCTCGCGATTAAAGCATTTCGCTTATCTACAATTTTGGGATATCCCTTTACTTCATTTCGAGTATGTACAGCCGAAATTTCTGACAGGGTCTGTTTTAATTGAGAGCGGTGCGTCAATCGATGAAGGAGTTACAGGGGAAGGAGCAGAATCAGAAAATGAGAAAAAAAAAGGGGTACCTTGAATAAGCTTCGGAGGCTTTTCAAATTGGAGGGACTTTCGAAAAGTCTGCTTTGGTTTTCCTCACGGGCACTTTCGCGTCCGATTAAGCGTGCGCTCTCTTCCACGGGCCATTTTGGAAAATTTCGGAGGGATTTCGGAAAGCGTGATTTCGAGGAATCAGGGTAGGAGGGGGAGACGCGTCTCGATTCGACGATTCGTCGGGAGCTCCCGCTTTTATTTTTTTTAGACTTTTCGGCGCAATTAACGGGAATAGGGAAAACTTATCGAGAGATGATTCAACTTAATCTCTAATCGGGAGTTGAAAATAAACCGAATGCCGACATTAAATCAGCCTTTGATGAAAAAGTAAAAGGATTAAGATCGATTTTTACGGATCTTCTCCGTCCCTTTGAGTGCGCCGAAAAATACAAGGTGTAAACAATATATATATTATAGACCAAAGCATTTTTAGTCTGTGATACGGTAAAAGATATAATTGTATCGGTGGTGGGCAAGAGTAGGCGTCGTGGGGATTTTCTTTTTCGAAAGCGGAACGGAGAGAAAACTCGTGGCATGTTCGAATTCAAAATTGACTTCGACGATCCCAAGGAGAGCTCGGAGTCGGGTCATTTTCGAAAAATAAAACGGCGGCGCGAATAATCAAAGATGATAAATTTTGCGGGATTTTTGGGCATTTCCGGACTTCGCGTCGCACTTTCGGAGTAGTACTCACGGGTGCAGAAAAGAGAATACACAAAAAAGAGAAATTAATTTTCTAAAAAAGACGCCACTAAAATGTTCTTGTTTGTCGACGAGGTGCACTAATACCTATTCGCTCTTAGTGGGACAAAAGGGGAGAGCTTGCGAAGAGGAGAGAATGGGAGAGAGAGAAAGGGCGGGAGAGAAAGCGAGAGGCCGAGCAAGCGAGAATACTGTCTTAGAGTTTAAGACGACATTTTATATTAAAGTTGCTTAAAAGTAATTTTGTAGCTTGTAGCGAGAAGAGGAGGATTTATTAAATCAACGTTCCAAGGTAGAGGGAAGCCACGAAAAACTCTCGTGCTTGCATTGTAATGCAAATTGCGCGGAAAATCGTACAATGAGTAGGAATAACGCGGAAGTAACGACGAACCCGAAACGTGCAACATTCGTTATTCTCGTCAAACGTCACAAGTGGTCGAGGAGTTTCACCAAAAAAATCCTATCGAGCTCGTTTTCCATTCGGGGGTAGATTTCAACTTTCCCGTCTTTGGATTCTCGATCCAAGGGAAAACGATCGATTTTACAAATTATTCTTTCACGGTCTAACTAATGCGATTTTCCCCGTTAATTGTACGAAATGATTTACAATGCAAAACGAAAGAGTACAGGGGAAAAAAAAAAATGAATGCAGCCGATGCATTTTCGGCGACAAGAATCGCTCCATTTGGGGACGACTGCCGTCCTTCTTCCCCTTTCGCGAGGGGAACCTCGAGAATGGATCGGCGTCGGCATTTTAATGACATATCTAGCGGCTAGGAATTATTCTCTCCCGGAGATCCACCAGAGCCGCGAAGAATAAGCTCGAGCGGAGAAACTTCCACGGTGTATTAACGATAAACCTTTAACAATAATAGTACTCCTGCCTACTGTACGTATCGCGCGTAGGTGACATCCACGCGAAGAAGCGAAGTGCGTTACAAAAGAAAACAAGAAATACAAAAAAAAAAAAAAGAAAGTGAACCGGTGAATTCGAATTAATCGAATCACCGGGCGTCGACTCGCGTCGAATTTCGCATCGGCTCGCCATTCGGATCTGTACATACGCGTATATATGCGAATATACATATACCTACGTGCATACTCATACATCCGAGCGTATATATTAAATATATATATATATATATGTATTATACATATTGCAGGATAATACACGAGATCTAATAAGATTAAACACGATCTATGGCATTTTTCATTGCCTTCCTCGCCACGTCCAGTCCCTACGCCTGTCGAACGACGGGAAGAAATGGCGACTTTTCTCAATGAAACGATCCTTTGGGAGTGGGTCAAATCCCGAGGATTCTTGTGGCAAATGATTCGTCCCGTCGACTCGTGACAAAGGCGGTCGGTGAAAACGCAAAATTGCATTTCTCGCGGCCAGGGAGGTTACGTTTGCTGGCCGGAGAGAGGCTCGCGAGAGTGGAGGAAGGATCCCGCGGAATCTCGGTACGCGGCACGCGCATTCAAATTCCGCGTTATGCCTCGCGAATACTTTCGGAGCTCGCATAAATCCGCCGACACCGTCTCGCGATCCCGCTGAATTATTCATCCGCGGGGACGAAACGTGACGAAATATCGGTACTCCGGATCGAGGGCCGGGTATTCTCAAGAGAAAATTGTTTCCTCTTTCCTCCTCGCTCGATCGCGTCCCGGGGATACTCTCGAAAGTCGACCGTCTTTACGACGTCCAACCGATTGCAAAGGAATCGCCGCGGCCTCGGAGACGTCGAAGGATCTTCCTTTTCGTCTCTTCTTTCGATCCTTCCCACTTCTTGGGTGGAATTCCACGACACGCTCGACTCCCCCGAGTTTTCGTTCCCCTCCGCGTTTCTCCAAGCCTTTGCACAAAGAATTCAGAAGTCCCCGTAGAAGCCCAGAAGGATACGGACGTTCGATGCTCGTCAATTAGTGCGTGAGCCTACGGATGGCGGCGCTGTAATCGTCTCTCCATCTCTCTTAATCTTATGGCGATATGTACCGAATTTTATTCTTTCTTTATCTCACCCCCGATACTCGCCTTTCTATATGCGTCTCTCTTCCTCCCGTATGTGAGATATCGCTGGCCAAACAGCGATCTTTATTTTTCCCCCACTTCTGATTTGTTAGCTAATTTTTAGAGCATCAAGTGATAATATAGGATCTGGGCTTCTATGGGACTTCTGAATTCTTTGCTTTGCATCAACCGCGATCGACGAAATCCCCGTCCGCCTTTCCTGGATACCGGACGTCTTTCCGTCTCTCTCTCTCCGCCGGTCTCGGGCAGTTCGGCGTCTCTCTCGCTCCGGGCCGGCAACGGGACATCGATCGCGGGCCGAGCGCTTGCCGCGCCGCCCAACGGCGCGTAGCGGCGGCAGCGGCGGCGGTGGCCGACCGGCGAAGGCGGTCCTCTCGTGGCCCTCGTCAGTCGTCCGCCAGCCTGCCGCGGGAGCGCCTCGCGCGTCCCCGCTCCGTCGCGTCGCGCCGCGTCCCCCCGGGTCGCCGGCGGAATTCCTAACCTGGTTCTTCCTCTACCGGCTTTGTGTTCCGAGTGCCGACAGCGTGAAGGAGGAGACGGTCGAGGCTTTCCGCATTCACCGCCGGTAAGTCGAAGCCCTGATATAGGACCTGACGTCGTTACGTCCCGGTGTTTTATTCTTCCGTTTCTTTGCGCCCACGACCCTTCCAAAATTTCGAGTCTTCGCAACTTTCGACGGTTTACCGTTGTCCGGGAAGACCGGAGAAGGAATCGGTTCGGTCGGATGGTCGATTCGTTAACGCGCGCTCCTCGGCCGATGCCCAGTCCCACCTGTGTACACTGGTGCGAAAACGAGCCTCGTCTCGCCTCGCGCGTGAATATTCGGTTTAAAATTACGTCTAAGGAATAATCCGGCCGCTGCTCCGCGACGATCGAACCCTAATTGGGTATTTCAATTAAAATCGTCAGGACGATACGGTTTTACCGACGAAGCGAATTTCGATGGGAAAGAAAACGAAAGAGATCCTCTTCCTTGGGGGTGACCGGTTCAAATCTCGGGGCCGTTTCCCCGACGGTGGAGACGCCGACCTGTTCGATGGTTTTCCCTCTCGTCGAGGATTTCCCGAGGAGTTTCCAATTTTTCTCTCCTTTCGGGACTCGACCTGGGGGCGAGATCGGTCGAAAGGTTTAGCCCGTTGACAACCGGAAAGCCAGCGTGTCCCCGGACCCTGGTGCCGCGAGGAACGGAAACCGGTCGAAGGGGACGAGGTCGACGGACCTTCCGCGGAATCGGCGATTCCTCGCCCCGCCGCGGCGCCGCGAAGACGGAGGGAGGGGGACGCTTCCTGGAACGATAAGGACCAGGGTCCGCGGTTCCACGGTGTTTTCGGCCGGACGGGAAACGGACGCGGTCGTCGCCCTGGAAGCGGGGGGACCGCCCGGACGGATAAACCGAGTCGTCACGTGGCTCCGGAAGGGTCGGACACCTGCCGAGGGGAGCCCGAGGGCACGGACCTCCTCGCCATCATCCTCGATCGGCCCTTCCGACCCTCCCGACGACCGGGGGGAAGGGAGGACCTCGAGGACGACCGAGTCTCGGGAGGGGTCCTCGGGTTCGAAGATATTTTTTCGCCGAGGTTCTAACCGAGGGTTCTTCCTCGTAAATCCTCGTCCCCTCGGCCGTGGAGATTTTTTTCTTTCACCTGCTCAGGGCGCGACGTAATGCTCCCTGGCCGGGATCCCCCGTGGACGAGGAACGAGGTCGTTCGTCTTGACGCCCTCGACCGGGATTTAATCGATCGGGCCCGGGATTTACGAGAAGGCGGGCCGAATCTCGGGGAAGGACTC